GCCTTCATGAAATTTGGTATGCTTGTTTGTCTTCAATGGTGTATAATGATGTGATTGTGATGCTGTATTTCTGAGTGTTTTATGTGCTGCAGAACAGGAACCTGCTGTAAAACAGCAATTATGCTGAGTCAGGCTTGATTTTTAGTAATCTTTTCCTGTTAAATCAAAAAATCAAAAAAAAATCAAATCAAATGTTTACCTCATTAGATCCAAATGGAAAGTATTTCTACTGGTGATCCTCTTTCCATTGTGGCATGCTCTGTGATGTTTTCTGTGTATTTCTACCCATGCACTTACCAACTGTGTGTAAAGATACTGTAAATGTGCATGTATGTGTACATGTGTATTTTTATGTGTATAGTGTTCTTTATTCTAACTCAGCYTCTCCTGTACTGACCTGCAGTAATGTGCAAATTTCCCCACTGTCAGATCAATAAGGTTTTATCTTATCCATCTTATCTTAAATGTTTCTGTTTCAAGATTCAAAGCCTTTCAGAAAAGATCCAGAGCTGCAGCCTGAGAGCCGTGGTCTAAACAGGCTGAGGACAACAATTAAACTGGTCCAAACCTGCTAAACCTTCTTCCCAACGTGAGCTGCAGTGAAGCTAATCAGCCATTATTAAGCAGTTGCTAAGAATTTGTGAATGTGTGAGTGTGAATGGGTGAATGTGTGTAAGTGTAAAGAGCTTTGGGGTCCAGAAGGACTTGATAAACAGCTCTATAATAAGTTCAGTCCATTTACCAACATCAGTAGAGATGTGACGTTCGCAAACGATCCGAATCTTTTAAACGGCTCTTTACAACGAATGATAGGAGCCAAATCGTAGGCAGTAACGAGCCATTTGTAGTTTTATTTCTTTTATGCCTCATATAATCTTTATTTTTTCATTCTTAAATCGCTCACGCTTTGCTTTTTCATGGTAAACGGGGAGTTGTGGAGTACAGAAGCTCACGGTGAAAGGGGGAGTGGGGTTTCTGCTCGACAAACATGGTTCCACCCACGTGATGGGATGACATCATTGCATACAGCTACATGATGACGTATTTCCCTACGTGATGATGTAATACATTCAAAATCGAACGGTTCTTTTGAACGACTCTATGAAACAAACGGCTCCCTGAGATCTGSATCCCTTCAAAGAGCTCCATCTCTAAACATGAGTACCAACTGACCAGACAGCTTCTTTTCATAAACTGGGTACAAAGTGACTCAGAGCCTTTCCCTGAACATACTCAGGATATACACACCTAGCTTTAGCTTTCATTTACCTGTGGCACTATTTCCTTTCTGAAGATGAGTGTGATGTGAGCACAGCTGTTGTCAAGGTAACCACTGTTGGGTTGACACTGAGTGTGAGGTGGAGTCAGGGGATGTGGTGTGGAACAAACTCCCCACTGACGACAGGGCTGTGAGAAGCAGGTGAGGAATGGATGCTCGACACACTCGTGACTCCCTGGGCAGGAAGGGCGGTTTGCCTCAGTGGGGGGGACAACCTGTGGAAGGAGGCAGGGCCGACGCCCACAGTGCACCTGGAAGATGACAGTTCATGAGTCTCTGAGGAGAAGAACATTCCTAGGTCATATTAAAATGTGAAGACACAGAGTGGTCTGCTGAACCTTTGAACAGTGAATGTCTCCACTGAAGCAGTGGCAGGCGTTGCACTCCTCGTCCCACTGACTGCCGTGAGGAAACTGCAGGCCAGCATGGCGGCAAGGCTTTCCAAGTCCCATGACTGGAGAGAGAGAAAATATGCAAATGGTTATTAAATTTAGCTTTTTTTGTGTAAGCTTAACTAAAATAAAAAAAACATCATGTAAAAACATACACATTTAACATTTTCTAAATTAAATCTATGACAATAATACTTTTTAAAGCACCATAAGTTATGCCTGCTGGTTTTCTTTGCTCTCACACAGGGGCAGCTGGTACTACTGGTAAAAACCAGAAGATACCATGAGCAGGAACATGAATAAACTCTGAACAGACAGATGTTCTGAAGTCTTAATACATCTGTGTTAATACAACAGAATRTTGCTATGTTCAAGTTCTTACACCAATGGCTTCTGTTAACTCTAATCTGTGCACATAATGTGAACTAACTCTACATTCAGTTTGGATGTTATCAGTCTCTTTACATATTGTTGGAACATTTATCTGAGAGGTTTCCCAATGAACCGTATGTGATGAATTCTGTCAGTTTATTTTCATTTTTATTTTTATTTTTCATTATTTCATGAGAAAAATCACAGGTCCAGGTGTAACAATAGACCTGGACCAGTTCTTCAGTGTTTGTCTGTGTCTCTTTCCTGTCCTCCAACCAGCTGGTCGAGGTAGATGGTCTCCTGTCCTCAGCCTGGTTCAGCTGGAGGTTTCTTCCTGTTCATGAGGAGTTTTTCCTCTCTGCTGCTGCAGGTGTGCTGCTCAGGATGGAGACTGTGACGAAGCAAAGATTTGGTGCAGTCTGCTGGCTTCTTTAGATTTATTGTTTTTGTTTTGTTTCATATTTTAATTTCAGCTGGGACGGGGACTACAGGTGGAATTAGCACTGGTGCTAAAACCTGGTTCAATGCATCTTTCATTTAAGGTTAATGTACCTTATATAAATGAGTCATAAGTCACACTATAGAAGCAATAAAAGAGGCCAACCAAAATGAGAACTTTAGAAAACAGGGACTGTTGGTTGACCTTGGATCTGGTAAGTGTTGGACAATGTTAAAAAGGGAGGAGGGTCCCAGAATGGGCTCAGTTTTGAAGTGGAACCATTGATCCTGGCTGAGGATATAGTCAGGCAGTGGAAAGACCATGTTGTAAATTGTCATGCAGTCACCCTGCCCACCAGTAAGGCAGCAGAGTATGAGGACTCAGAGGAAGGGGAGTACTGGGAGTACTGGGAGATCACACTGGTCAACCATCTAAGGACAGTTTGCTCGAGGGCCGTGGAAGGAACCAACTGTGCAACCTCACACTTTTTGGACTGATACACAAGCTCTCGATGGTTCCCTCTAACTTGTATATAAATGTCTGGTTTTTCTGACTGAGCAGCCTGTGTGAGCTGACCATGAATGTACAACAGTTAATCTTTCTTTCAAAATGTGGCATCAAGCAGACTACAAAACAGTCTGCAAATTAAACCATGAAAAAAGAAAACAACAATAAARACTTTTTCTGAGGAAAACATGCAAAAGCAGAATTTATGCTCTTAAAGCTGGGTCAAATGCCAGTTGAGAAATCACTCAAATGTTTTTCCTTCTTGTTATTGGAAGGACAGTTGATTAATCAGCACAGAACATTCAGTCATGTTACAGGGAAACCTGCAGATCTGAGTGACACTGAGCACCAGAACAGAAACAGTTTAAAACAGATGGTTCAAACTTACACTGCTGACAGCGAGGGCCAGTCTGTCCTGGAGGACAAACACACCTGTAACCATTGATCTCATCTATACAAGACGAACCTTCAGCACAAGGAGATGATTGACACTCATCTATATCTGAGGAGACAGGGATGGAAGGTGGTCACAGAAACATCACAACACCGTATGGTTTTAAAACACAAGATGTCTACTGCTGTGAAACCCCCTGTTAAAAACCATAAATATGACTCCACACTACTGTGGTCCTGTGATGGACCGGTGTCCTGTCCAGGTCAGCAGGTCCTGACTCTCACCCAGTGATCGCTGGACTCGACACCAGGTCCACACAACCATGAGCAGGAAGATGTGWGTAGAAGCAGATAAAAAAAACAACAATAATCTATAAAAGTAAAAGAACAAATGAAACAATAAAGTGATGAGTGAGATTGATGTTCTGAACAAGAGATTCATGGAATGAACTAAAAGTCCTCAGAGGATTACACACTGCTTCGATTCTTCATGGAAAACTGGTTTGAAACACTTGCTTTGTTCATTCCTGCTCCCAGTTCAGGTTCATCCTAAAGCTTAGATTTGACTGGGAATAAAACATGTTTTTATTTTAAAACCTTTATTCTTATTGTGTGTAAAGTTTGATACCAGTTCAATCAGAAAGACTTCACAGGATTTAGACCTTTATTTTATTTTTATGTTTTATCTATCATTATTTATCCAGACAAACACCACTGAGATCACAAATCTCTTTTGCAAGGGAGGTCTGAAGGCAACCTGTTGTACGGGTTTTGTTGTTGTTGTTGTTGTTGTTGTTGTTGTTGTTGTTGTTGTTGTTGTTGTTGTTTGGTCTGTGGGGAAACCAGAATGCCTGGAGAAAACCCACACAAGCATAAGGAGAACATGCAGACTCCACAGAGAAAAACCCCAAGTCCAACCTGGGAATCAAACCCAGGAGCAGCTTGTTGTGAGGCATTAGTGCTAACCACTGATCCACTGCGCGGTCCTAACCTTAGTTTGAAAGGTATTTTGAATTCTCTCGTGCACTCACCTGTCTGACAAACTTCAGCTCGGCACTGAGAGAGAAGCTTAAACCCATTTTCCTAAAATCATCCTAATATGCCGCTCTGAAACAATTGGCTCATGATGCCCTTTCATGGCCTTTGACCCCTGACCCCCCGCCCACCTGACCTCCATGAGGCCTCTCAGGGACTCACTGATGCGGCAATCCGGTCCAGCAAATCCTGGGGCACACTCACAGCGAAACCAGTTCACACCGTCCACACAGACACCACCGTTGTAGCTGCAATGAGATTAAAACTTCCAGCTCAGAAACCTCATTTCTTCTGTTTTATCACAGAAATAAACCTTCAAACTTTCACCCTGCAGACAGGCTGTTCCACAACGATTTGTACTGTAAAAAACAAAATGCAGTGTTTTTGTCCAGGGTGGCTTGCCAAACATTTCTGAAGTTAAACTTTGACAGCAAAATAATAAAATAAAAAATATAAAAACTGAGTCTTGTATGAAAAAAAATCTGAAATCATAATTTTAAATTAAACAAATAAATCAAGATGAAAGACGAGAATTTCTGATTATTTTCCCAGAGACAGAAGGATGGTCAATAGAAAGCCTCTTTACAATCTGCAGTTTGTGACTTTAGGGTTTGAGTTAGCCTAGATGTTTTTCTATTATCAGCTTCCAGTGTTTGGATCTTTGTGTGTTTTTCTGACTTGCTCTTTGAGATGATAAATCTCTGTCCTCGTTAGGCCTCCTTCACACTGGATGATGACCTGCTATGGTGTGAAAACCAGTCAGTTTGTGGCGAAGTCATGGCAGGTAGTTCCTGAAGGAGTTAGTGTGGTGTGAGTTAGGGAGTGTGAAGTGTGTCCTTAGCATGTATTTATTTAATGTAATTTATTTATTTATTTATTTATTTATTTTATTTACCGTTATTTTACCAGGCAAGTCCCATTCAGATCTCAGATCTCTTTTTCAAGGGAGGCCTGAAGACAACCTACTGTACATGTTTTTGTGTTGTGGGGGAAACCGGAGTACCCGGAGAAAACCCACACAAGCACGAGGAGAATATGCAAACTCTGCACAGAAAGACCCCAGGTCCGAACCGGGGATCGAACCCAGGACCTTCTTGCTGTGGGGCGTCAGTGCTAACCACTGAGCCATCGTGCCGCCAAATGTAGCCCACAGGCTCCAGAGAATCTGCAGCAGCATGGTATGTTGGAGCAGCAGCCTACCTACAGCTSAGAGGAAGCAGCTGGATAAGCTCATCAGGAAGACCAGCTCTGTGCTGGGATGCCCACTGGACCCAGTGCAGGTGGTGGGAAACAGAAGAACTCTGGGTAAAATAACATCATTGATGAACAATGTCTCCCACCCCATGAAGCTGTGGCTTCTCTGCAGAGCTCCTTCAGTGACAGACTGCTGCATCCTAAATGCACAAAGGAGCGTTACCCCAGATCCTTCCTCCCATCAGCTGTTAGACTCTACAACCATCACCGCTCCCGACAAACCCAACAAGCATGTATGCTTGTGTTTGCACATTAAACAAATCTGCYCTCAGTCGTTACATAAATAACACTGTGGATATTGTACATCTTTTTTCCAGTACTGGAACACTGCATGAGTCTGGCATGACTGTTTTATTGTTTCTGTTTTTCTGCACAGTGTCTTATTTTCATTTTGATGTTATTTCAATTTTATTTTGTTGTACAGTACTTTATTTTCTTTTCTTAATTTTTAATATTTTTAATATTTTAATTCTAATATTATYGYTACTATTGATAATGTTGCATAGCAATATTTTGTTTTGTGGATTTATGTATCTGCTGCTGCTGTTACACTTGAATTTCCCTTCTGTGGGACAATAAAGACAGTTTCTATTCTATTCTATTCTGTTCTRTTCTATTCTATTTTGTTCTTACTCCATCAATGGATTGTTTCTTCCCTGAGGGCACGGCCATATTCCAAGATGACAATGCCAGGATTCATGGGGCTCTTATTGTGAAAGAGTGGTTCTTGGAGCATGAGACATCATTTCCACACATGGATTGGCTCCACAGAGTCACTGAGGATCTTTGGGATGTGCTGGTGAAGGTCAGACTCTACCATCATCAATGCAACATGTTGGTGAAGAATTAACACGACACTGGATGAAATAAACCTGCTGACATTGTAGAAACTTATCAAACAATGACACAGAGAATGTGTGATGTAATCAAAGCTAAASGTCTGTGTTACTGCACCACACAGACACTGTCCAGCTCCTCCTGGGGGGTCTCGAGGCATACAAGGGCCTCCAGAGAGTTCAGGGTCTGCCCCAGGATCTCTTCTTATTGAAAGAGATGGAGGCATCCTAATCAGATACTTGAACTAACTCGTTTTGATGAGGATGAGCAGCAGCTCTCCTCTGATGATGGAGCACCTCAGCTTCTTTCTAAAGCTGAGCCTGGCCCCCTTACAGAGGAAACTAACTTCAGCAAAATATTAAGAAGATGAATTAAGACCAACAGTAGCTTTAAGGCATGTTATAAGTTTTATGAGGGTACTGAGGTTCTGTGAGGTGAGAGTTTAACAACACATATATAAGAATTTGTCTTACCAAGGATGTGGATTGCAGTCATCAACATCTGGAAGAGAGGAAGACAAAAAATACATGTTTCAATTTTATTTCCCACCAAAACATAAAAGCTGGTCATATGGTTTTTATTCTTCTTCTGGAGTCAGTAAAATGTGGTTTTCCAAAACAGAACCACCAGGTCTGAGTTGGTAACTTACTCCGTGCACATGTGTGTCCCTCCCAGCCATCCTTGCAGATGCAGGTGAAGGTTTCTCCCCCTCCGATGCATGTCCCTCCATTCTCACACGGTCCTGAATCACAGGAGCTGTTCTTGGCTGAAAAGACAAACAGGATTTCTTCATTCAAACCAGGGACTCTGCTTATCAGTAAACCCTTTCACTGATAAGGTTTAACACAGACAAGTGTCTCACCTGTGTTGCAGGTGTTTCCAGCCCACCCTGAGGGGCAGCTGCACAAGAACGAGTCTCCATGATCAAAACACGTCCCTCCATTGCTGCACGTGTTGGAGTCACACTGACTCTCACCTGGAAACAAGCAGGGGGGCAAAAAGATGACAACATCTGACTTTGTGCCTGAAAGAAAGAAAGAAAGAAAGAAAGAAAGAAAGAAAGAAAGAAAG